ATTAACATTGAGACGATGATTGATTAATGCAGTTGTGATATTCAAGGTTAAATATAGAATATTATAGAAAGAATACAACTGGCGAGAAGGAAAGAAGGAATTGGGGTTATTATATATCCTAATTCGCTTTGTTCAGATGGAGGTTTAAAGAGTTGAGACAGGAAGATCATGCGATATCCATTATATCAAGACTCAACTCTATAAGATGCTGGATAAATCTCGATATCAGCTCTGGTCAAAATGATCAAGGAAATTTCCAAAGATCTCTTGAGCTGTTAGATAGACGAGGTTGCTACTCGGTTTAACCATTGTTCAGTCCTACAAAGATCAAGATACTCACCACGAGATACTTTATACTACTTTATATATATGGAATAAATGTTGAGTTTTCAAGATCTCAGAGAGAGACGGTGAGAGTAGGATTGTGTAAGGTGAGGGTGGCAATTGCTTCGCAAGGGATGGGGACCGGGGACTGATTGAATAGTTTGAGACAAGGTAGATGTTGTTAAAAAAAAAAAGAAAAGAAAAAAAGTATGATAAAGAAAGAAGAAAGGAGAAAGAAAGAAAGAAAGAATTATCACATGTAACTGTGATATAATAATAAAAAAAAAAAAAATAGAAAAAGATCCAAGTACCAGAATCTGGCACCTAGAACAACGGGCTCATGGAGCATATGATGCTCACTGCAGGGATCGAACCTGCGACCTTCGCGTTATTAGCACGACGCTCTACCGACTAAGCTAAGCGAGCCGTTTTAGTGATGAAAGCGGTCGATTGGACTACAGGCATAAACCAATGATGAAATTTGATCCATAAATGCACGTCATGTGATTGATATTGCATATAAGGAATATTTATCGTCACGTGTCGCTCTCTTTCGATTTTACGTTAATTAAATAACCTTATTTTCCCGCCATGGATTTACGTTAATAAATTGTGGGAACAATTTCTCTTTCCCCGATGTGGGCTTACCTTAATAAAACTAAAAACCAAAAAAGTGGATTTACGTTAATAAAGAAATGACGAAGGAGCCTTCCTTGTTCTGCTTGCTTCTCAGATATTGCCTCATTCCATAAGAATGACAACAGTTAAGTAAGGAGCTTTAATGTTCTAGCTAGCTATGCGACACGGGACAAGGAACCAAGACGACCCAGCCATCATAGATGGGTGGGAATGCAGCACTGCTGTTTGTGGGAACAATTGGATGACCGCAAGTCTCTTTACCGATGTACGTTATTAAAAAAAAAAGACTCCATTTCTTATTATTCACCTCCTATTACTCTTATTATCTATTGTTATTTCATTATTATTTTTATTGAGGCATAATTTCCTTGGTGGGAGTGCTTTATGAATTAAACATAGTAATAAAAACGACTTTCCTTCTTGTTATCCCATTCTTTCATATGTGATACCCCTGGATAATTCAGCAACCAGACAATCTCCAGGTTTGCCAGTGGATAAGAACTTAGTTGTAGAGGAGGACAACTTCATCCTCCGCTTCCTCTCTCTCTTTCTCTTTTAGATATCTAATCGACCCTTGACAAATGAAATATTTTATTTATATTGATCTTATAACATTAGTGATAGTAAGTTCTACAATTCTAGACCACAAGAGAAAGGAGGGAGAACCTTTCGACTTGGGTCAGCTAGCTGCGACACACCTGAAACAGCTATCGCTACAGCAGAGCGTGTGTCCCTGGGCTTGAATTATATCCGCATTTAAATGAGATACAATTTGGACTTGTGCACTCATTTGTGCTGTGGACGCTGACAGTCTTCATAATCCCATCAACAACACGGCGCGAGCGCGCCTGACCCACCTGGGCAAAGCAAAATACACGCGTTTGCGTTTGAGATGTGCTATACTCATCTGTCATGCCGACAGTGGTGTGCTTCATATATTCCTCTCTCTCATCTTTTTTCCTCCTCGCCTGGTGTGTCCGCCTATTCGACTACCAACACACGTGCCCACATTCCCAATTAGCATTATTGGCAAAACTGCTGATCGCCACTTTGGGCAGTAGTTGGGCTCTATATAACTATGCTTCCTGAGTATATAGTGACGCTTACAATCGTGACACCAACCATCAGATCTTACCTTCGCTCAACTTCAGTCCGTATATCCTGAGCAAATTGTCGCTCAACTCATAGCTTTGTTCGTTCCTAGCACAATAATAATAATAATAATAACATTTTTTTTTGTCCACTTACCTTGACCCCGATTAACAATCTCCCACGTCTTCGTAAATCTTGTCAACTTACTCTAGATCTTGATTTGTGGTTAATTTGACTTGTTCCTAACCCGACTTTGATTTGATGTTTCTGACTTCGTAACAGTTGGGCAAAGCTGCATACAGTGTTCAAGTGTCACACCTTGAGCGATAACAAAGCGAAACAAGGATGGCTTTAGATACGGAGGAATGCTTTGGCTCATGGAATAATAAGAACCGATTAGCTGTGGATTAATCAAGGGTGAATAATCGTTGGTAAAAAACAGTCGAACACCACTAAATCGGCTGTGAATTGCGATACTCAGTGTTTGAGCTGTTTTTCGCCTTTCCATCTAATAAAAAATTTAAAATTCAAAAATTTAAAAGTTAAAAAGTTAAAAGAATGAGGTTAGCAGTTAGACTTCCTCACCCTGTCATGGACGAGCAGACAAGAATAAGGTAAGGAATAAGTGGAGCATCAGAGACAAGACAAGAAGTTATTTATTGCAGACTGAAGATTATACTATAATAAAGCTAGGTGTTTATACCAGAGAATTCTAAATAGTAATTGATATGATTTAGGTTTGTAAGAGAAAGGTTTGTTACACTCCTCCTTCACTTCCCTTTTCCTAACGCTTTGAGCGTTTTGAGCCCTCCACTTTTCTTTTTTTTCTCCGCTGTCATCTTTGATCTTTCTTTGAGTTTGAGATCTTTAACCTTAAAGATCTCAAGGATCATCTGCTCTCTTGACAGTACAGAGCTTTTAAGATCCTCTCTATTGTTAGAGATGTAGGCCTCTTGCATTTCCATGTCCCATGCGGTAATGGTCTCTGCAAACTGGTCCTCATTCATCTCCATGTCCTCTTCCCCTCTTCTCCCTCTTCCCCTTCCGATTCGTTGGTAGAATCTGTAAGGTCCATGGGGTTAGAAGCATCCTCTTCCACAGTCGATTGGTCGGGGGCAGAGAGCTTTGGTGTGATCATCCCGACCACATCTATAACAGAATGCCGTGCTTCCCCATGTGAAGAGGGTGTTGCCTCCTCTAATTGCTGCTACTCTTGGGATGAGAACATCCCTGGGAACCGATGGATGGAAATCCAAGACGAATTCAAGAGACCCAGCACGGAGTTTCTTGTTTTCACTGTTGATATAATGATACCTAGTGAGGATAATGTTGCCATAAGGGGCAAAGGTTGCCTTAAGGGCTTTGGATGTTTCCTCATCCGTTCCATCTTGGACGTAGTCGGCGCGGATCCTTAGGCGCCTGCCGTTGGAGAAGATACCCCTGTATATAGGGAGAAGGATATCTCCGACTTTTGAGATGTGATCTATAATCAGCCACTAGCTCCTCCTTTGAGCCATAGTTGAAAGTCATTTTACCAGGAACATTGGTATTGACTTGTCTTGCATTCAAGAATGCTGAGCTTCCGGCCATGAGTACGTGGTCTGCCCTTACAGACCTGTTGAAGGGTATCACAAGGGATTGGCCGTTGAGGGTCCTTGTGAACATGAAATTTGGTAGAGGGTTGTCCTCTGTGACACGATTAGTGTCAGTCTGAGACCGAATGCCGTTCCATATGCTCTTGGCCTCAGTTTTGGTGAGGCCTCGACCTGCCATGGTGGCATACCCAGACAACTTTGGTGGTGGTGGTGTTGGTAACCCTTTTTCCTGGGCACCCTGGGCATTAGACTTGGCTACCCCCAAAAGGGCGGGAGAGAGGGCCGTTGTGGCTTGAGTAATATTTAAAATTTTTGGAGGGCTCTCATTCTGGGAGGAATGAGATTCTCCATCCTGATCACTTCCATTTGGAATGAAAGAGGGAGGAAGGGGATCTCCCTTTGGAGGAGACTCCATAGGGGTGGTAGTATGAGAAAAAGTGTGGAAGGGAGGTAACCTTTTGGTGAAGGACTGTTCTCGTGGGGTTTAGGTTCTTTCGAGAAATATTGCCAAATTAATAAGGATTTTAAACTCTGTTGGCTACCAAGTCGATTTGTGTCAGTTAGAGTACGAATACCAGTTGGTTGCTCTTGTAAATAAAATATGTGATAAGTATGATCGGAGGGCTGAATCCTTGGAACGATTTGTGTCGGATAAAGTACGGGTGGCTTCTAGCTTCGCCATAGCGGCCTAGCTGATCAGTTTGTTGCTTTGTTTGAGTGGAGGCGGCATCCTGAGGTGGCTTGAGGCAAGTCTTAAGTAGGAAAAAAAAAATTTGTGGGCTCTCACGATGAGGATTGAGATCCTCCCTCCATCTTGCTGATCTCCTCCATTTGGAATGGAGGAGAGGGATGGGAATCCCTTTTCGGAGAGGACTCTATAGTAGGGAGAAGAAGGATGTATGTGTACGCGTGTGTGGGGGAGGAGAGAGCAATTTTTTTTTGTAGGAGGGCTGTTTCTTGTGAGGGTGCAGTCAAGAAAATGGGAACTACCAATTGTAGTCGGCCTTGTACTGAAACAAGACCTAGGAATGTGATAATTTCATAATGAAATTACATGTTTGTGTGTGGTAAATAGTAAACACAAAAGGTTTTTTTTTCTTTTTTTTTTTGTAAAAGTTATTTGTGACTGTCGGAGCATATATTGACTTTGGTACTCCAACTACTAGATACTGTTGTTGACTGTGAAGTTGTAAATAATGTGCGTTCCGTCAAATCGTTTTGCAACCATTATCTCAATATGTGAATATGTGACACGAAACACATGCTGCACCCAACTCTCAGGCGCCAGAATTTATTGTTGGTGAGGAAATCATAGACCTGCTTACGATTCTCGAAAAGGTCTAGTTTCGCAGTCAAAACTATCCGATCGTCTTTTGTTGTTGCCTCTAGTATATCCGTACTATTGGTTCGAGTGAAGATAGCCAACTTTATAATGTCCTCTTATCTCCACGATCGCGTTATCTTTAAAGTTTAAAAAAAAGCCACAGTGAGTGTATTACAAATTTTACAAATTGTGGGATAGACTCATTCTCCGTTTCTCCATTCATAATTCCCTAAACATGAGCCAATTCAACACTGACATTAAAACCTATGAGTTTGTAGGTGCAATCGATAGTTTTTGTTTTCAAGAGTTTTTCAATGCGCTATTTCAGCTGTTGTAGCTATCTTTATTATAGTTTTATTTGCTCAAGGTCTTTCTAACAATACTATATTCTATCCTTCCTACTGCTTAGAACCACACCATGGTCCGAGTCAAGGATCCCAAGGCTTCAATCGAGTTTTATCAGGATATCCTTGGAATGAAGTAAGTTTTTATTTTTATTTCCTCATTATTATGTCATATATACGCTAACCGATATCGAATTCTATTGCAAATCCTTAGACTTATCTCTACTATGAAGAACGAGGCCGGAAAGTTCACAGTACGTGTCTATTACACATAATATTTTCCATGTCACATATTACTGTTATCTTGCAAGATTGCTAACTCTTCCCGATATATATATATATATAGCTCTACTTCTTGGCATATGTAAACGAAGAGGACCGTGCATCATTGGATGCCCAGTCTGAGGAGAATCGCCGTTCCTATGCTTTTAG